TAAAAGAAAAGAAAAGACCTGCCAAAAGCGCAAACCCTGTCCCCGGTTCCCAGTGTTCTGTTTGATCGTTTCGTAGTCCACCGCCGTTGCTGGCGGAATAGGGCGAGTGTTCTCCCTTTCGAGTATGTTTTGGTTGAGTTCCCCGTTCTGGATTGTGATTGATGTCGTTATTCTTTGTCTGCCTGCGTCTGCCCGTGGATCGCCGCGACCTGGACGTGTCCTTCTCTGTGCTTCTTCCTTGTTGCTTGCACTTCGTCTATCGATTGCCGCGACCTGGATACGTCATTTTTTATTTTTTTATTTTTTTGTGCGTTCGTCAGTTTTCTTTTCGCTGTTTTCAACAATCGGCATCGTCGACGATTCGAAGTAGTCGAAGCATGGGTGGTGCTGTCTGCCTTTGAACACTTGGAAAACGAGTTCCCCACGTTTCGTCGGTGACGTTTGCCTCTGGATACTTGGAAAAAGAGTTCCCCAAGTTCCGTCGTTTCCAACTGCCACCTTTGTTTGTGTAGCCTGGCCATTACGAGATGGGTTGACTACGCCCCATGCTCCGGAGTTCTATACCGTTTCGTCCCCTTCTCCTGCGGCCTTCATCGACGTTCGCCATCGCCCACTTCACTGGACTTCTTTCCGCCATCGTCACTTCCTGGCGTCGACTACATCATCATAGTCGAGATCCCGAGTTCTAGTGTTGTATGCATGTTTATGTGTTTTCTGTTTATTATGTGTTGTGTGTTTGTGTTTCATCATCGCCCGTCTGTGCGAGATATAGGGTGGCTAGTCGCATTAATTTTTGACTTTGATCATTCGTGCCTCGTCCAGCCATTGGTTTTACATGGTTTGGACTCCACGTTTCTTTGTGCAGTTTGGTTGGGGTGGCAATTAACGCCTCTCTTCCGTTTTGGCCATGAACGTTCTTCAGTCTTACCTTTTGTGGTCAGCGCATTCAGCCGTAGTGTGCCCGTCGTCCTGTCCCACTGAATTTTGCGGGAGTAATTCTGGACTCTCTTGTGTCGCCACCCTCATTCCTCCAGTTGTAGTACGCGCTTGCGCGCGAAATAGAGTGATGTGTGGCGTTGATATTGATTTATTTTGTTTTTTGTGGTAAAACATGGTGCTTTGCAGCACATCTTGCCTAGCTATATCCCTCCATGGGTATAACCTTATCATCGAGTCGCCACTAGCTGTGTTTCCGCGTCATCGGAATCACCTTTCGTCTCAATGGTGGTGTGGGGGGTCGAGTCGGGATATTCCTACAGCCCCTCTTTCCTTTGGATACACTTGTGAAGAGTCATATCTTTCGATTTATGATCCTAAATCATCTGCTATTCGTAGCCCTAGGACTTGAGTATAGAATCTGTATAGATGATCTTCAGGGTGGGCTAGTGTTAAGGAGTGTTGCTGTATGGCACAGATAGGGTACACAGTCGGTCTAGATTAAGATGGGGGACGTCAGGAGGTATACCCTCTTAGGACGTACCCCATCGGGACTTAGCTATCTGCGTGCCCCCAGGTTGAG